TAATAGATGATAAAAATATTCGTTAAACTAGCTAAATCGTCGAATTTATATATAGCTCTTTTTTTTTCGTCCCGTTCCCCGCAAACGAAGAATTCCTTATTCAAACTGATATGAACAGATAAGAATATTCTATATATTTGTATGAAATAGGAGGAGATGAGAGAAATTTGTCACGTTCACCCCACGGAAATCCAATACTAAATTGCTCGAGGCCCTCGAAATATAATTGGAAACATTCACAGAATTCGTTTCAAGGGGAGGACGTGACGCCCATCTCGTTGTTTCCTGAAACTAATTCGATTTCCGTAAAACGATGTTTTCCGCGTAATCGGTCTGGAAATAACGACATACAGCGAGAGAAACAAGCGATAATGTACATACTTGTACGTACACGTATATATTTATCAATCCAAAACGTTATTTCATTCGAATAACACGCTCCATCAAATTCGATGTTACTTCGATCAGGGGAAAAAAAAAAAAAAATTCGATCAAGACGATCATGATCAATATTGTAGACTCTCCTAGCGGACCCTGATCATTTTTTTTCTTTTCTACAACATCCCGTCGATAAATTTAACGTGATGGTGGTCACGTAGCCGCTCAATTTACTCGATTGAAACATTTTTCCCTCTGCTTTTGTCGGCCCGTTCCTTACTCTCTACCCAAATAATTGCATTTCGAACGAGAAACACGATGTTCAGACACGAAAGGCCGGTGACGCAAGAGATACGCTACAAAGGATAGCAACCGAAGATTGAATCGAACAATAAATCGAGTTTTTTCTCTCTCTTTCTCTCCCATATGTCGCTAATCAATCGAAGGAGTGCTCGTAATTTCACAATCGATTATCTTAATCATCCGTTTCCGCGTGGCACCACCTACGTTGCCCGTTCCGCAGACTATTTTCAACCTGGATAATGGGCCAGGCAATTGTAAATTATCGTGAAAATCGTAGCTTGTGCAATTCGAGTAAACGGTAAATAATAGTAAATGAATAATCGAATTGGTAAAAAATGATTGATTATATTGTGATTAACCCGTTGGCCTCAAATGATAATTATCATTCGTCGTGGTAATTTAATATTAGAATATGCAATGACGAGTTATAATCGTCTAGAAACTAGAAATATATAATAGATAGAAACAGTAAAAAAAACTTGATGATCGATGATTATGATTCCATAAAAAAATGAAATGTATATAAAAAAAAAATTGTTTTGATTAAATGGGATCGTATGTTAATTAAACATCCTAGCTCTAATCTTGTAATAAATATATGTGATAATGCGTGTACCTTGGATAGATTTAACCTCACAATTATTCCAGTTAATTCTAATTATATATAATGTACTTAAACGTATCTACTATAAATATCATTAATATTAATGCATAGATAATAAATACAGCACACATGTTACCAATGAGATTAATAAATTAATAAAAGAACACCTGTTTATCAAAGTTTATCAAAGTTGATGCAAAGACAAGATAGATTTATACAATGGTAAAAAAAAAAAAAAAAAAAATAAATAAATAGAGAAAGTGCTTATATTTATATTTATATGCAAGAATTCTTTTATTTTAGATAGATATAAATTTACTTACATGATGCATTTTAATTTTGTATCGTATAAAGAATAAAAATGAAATTTTGTATTATATATTAATTAGTAGAATTGAATGAATTAGAAATAAGCTCTTCTCTATTTATATATTCATCATTATAAATATAGATAATCAGTTTTTTTTTTCTTTTAATTAGTAAATGAATTGTGCAAACAATTCAATGAGCCTATTTTTATCCTATACATCTCAAATATGAGATAAAATATGATTCTTTAACTAATTACTTGATGGAGAACAAAATGAAAACTCGCCATCTAGGAGTGAATAGAAATATTACTATCAAACTAGTAACTGAACTAATCAATTGATCAATTAATTATGAATTTGAAAATAAGCTATATTTTTAAAAAAATTGAATTAAATAATTCATTGTGTATCTTAATTCTAGTTAACTCTTAAAAAAATCCTTAAATAAATATTAAAATATTTCAAAAGAATTTTGATAGTTTTATATTTTGATATTTTAATTTTTTAAATAAATTCTTTATAAATAAATTAAATAACTGGAAAAAAAAAATATAAGCGTTATGCTATTATGCCAAAGCAAAAACTCTGTTAATGTAATAATTCTCCATTTTTTATGAGATGCAGTATATTCTCGTTTCAAATGACGGAAATAATCCATGAAACAAATTCAGGAGCATGCGCGCGCAGGTTGAGAGACGCGGGAATTGCTTTCGAAAATGTTTACCAGCACTAACAACAGGCTCGTAAGCCACGTGCTTCTATCTCGAAACTGTTCTTAATGGTTTCGTGTGTATCTTTTTCATGGGGATTATATAAGTCTCTTTGCGAGAATTTAATCTATCCATGAACACCTCATTCGCGATTCCAAGCACGTAGCTCTTTAATTCTGCCTCGAATGCCTAAGTCACCGTGAAATCTTATATCTAATAGTTGACACTGACTTCTCTCAAACACAATATCATTCGTTACACGCGTCGAAAAACACTTTCGAAACAAGATTAATTCGAGACAAGATAATCGAGATATTATCGCGATACAAAATTTCTCGAATATGTTCGAGCAATTACAGAGAAATTGATCGTATTAAAACTGAAAAATATTATATTATATTCTCAGATTCCACTTACCAAAACGATAGCGTGATTAATGTGTGATAGATGAACAGGAATTCGTTGATAGCACTCACCTTTTCATCAAGATTGTTCAAATCTGGCAACTGAAACAGAACGATAGATACGAATTAGTTCTATAAATCGTCACTATTTTGTAATGGCTAATCTCGGACAAGGGTTAACGTTTCATTATTCGATTTGAAATTATATAACCATAATCAAGAGTCATAGGATAAATGAATGGGCGAAAAGTTACCTTAACAGGTAATATAAATATTGTGAATTCACATAATTAACAACACTAACAAATTACAAACTAATTTCAATCACATCACGTGCACAATAACGAACAACAACACGCATGACCGTGAACTGGAGAAAGGATTCAAATCGCGTGAGGACGTATCGTCGCGCCATCTGACGACATATTTCGTACTAACGTTTAGGTAAAAAATGGAGGAAGAGAAGCTAGTCAGCTACGTCAATGCCTACTTTATCCACACATGAGTTTGGTTAGTCGGCAGATGCCGCCCACGGTACATCATTTTTTTTTTTTTCTTTACTTGCTTGCAAATTGAAGGAAATTGAAGCCAATTTATAGCAATCAGCTGTCGTGTTTGAATATATTCTCCCGGAGACTGCAGATAGCGTGCTAGTATTAATTTAACGCTTGATGCGTCAACTCGTCTAATTAACCTTCATTATTCTCGATACGTGTTCCGAAGCGGGCGAAATAACGTGAAAGCGAGGAGAAGAAATTTCTTCTCGCGCGAAATTTAAATAAACTATTTTACAAGGTAGATAAAAAAAAAAGGTACTATGCAAATTTTAATAAGATTGAAACGAATAAAATGCCCTCTCTTTGAAATTCATGAATTCCCTTCATCACGTAGGAACGATAACAACTTTATGACTTATTTTCCAATTTTAAAATAAATTATCGCAATATCCCTGAAAGTCAAACGTGACCACGTATAGACTCGAATATATTATAAGATTGTTTCCCGAGATGAGATTCTACTTAAACGTGAAAAAACACGAGTTAGAACACGGTTTATTATATTCTTTCAAGCGTTCGGATTTTTTGATTCACCTTGATCCAGATTATCTATATAGCAGATCGTACCGTGATTCACTTCGATATAGAAATGCTATATAATATATTTAATAACCTTGTCTCATGTTGAAACATGATAATTCCCTTCGAGAACTAACGAGAGACATTACGTAAATGAAACTGGAACGTCTTTGGATTATACATCGGGTTTGTCTCTGCGGTCTCTCTTTGAATATATGAGAATTTTTAGCTCTATTAACTGTATCTCGATCCCTCCTTCTCTGTTCCAAGAGGTGAAAAGAAAAGTTTATAAAAAAAATTGAGCGTATTAAAAAAATGATATATGAATCTATTCTATCGAAATTCTTAATAAATTTTTAAACGATTGAGTAAAAAAAAAAAAAGAAAAAAAATAACCCGAGGGAAATAATATAAGTATAATAAAACGAAGGTTACGTTAAATTTTAAATAAGAAATGGAGCATCGTTCCAAGAATAATTCGAGAATCGTTATTCAAAAGTTATTCCAAAGTCAAGCGTACGTTTTCGAAATGACGTTATAACACGAAATCACATCGAATGTACAATTCGCCTTGAAACCGACGTTTAGTCGTTCAAGTTTTAAGAAGTAAGAATGCATATCAGTGAAATCTGTTCAAACATTTACACTAAAATCAATGCGTTATTTACTCGCCTTTGTCTGCTACTACTTTCAATATGTACCGAGAAAATAGCATGTTGCTTACAGTAGTTTATCGAGCTATACTCGGCATTGATACTCATCAACCGATAGAATCGAGTTTCATGAAATCAAGGTCGATAATGACCTTGGAATGTCCTTGATATCTTCCTTTTTTTTTTCTTCTTTAATATTCGTTCGTTCGTTTATTTTATATAACCAATATTTAAAAAATATATATATATATATATATATATATATATAATATATATA